CTTACACAGCCCTTCCCTGCAGCGTGTGTGTGTGTGTGTACACACACACACACCCTTCCCTGCAGCGAGTCCCCTCCAACCCACCCGCGCTAGGTCTCGGGGGACGTGTGTGTGTGTGTGTGTGTGTGTGTATTCTTGATACGAAACCACGACGACACACACCAGTCGACTCGCATCGGTTGCCTCCATGAACCGCGGAGCTATTCTCGCGTCCACACCACACCTGTGGCTCCAACGTGGACACGCCCATAGCTGGGGACACTACTAGGTCACGCATGGCATCACAGAAGTTTTGTCTCTGGGCCCCGAAAGGCATCTCTAGCAGCGTCGTTACGCATGCGCCCTCCCCTCCTGGGCGCATGCGCCTCACGTCTCGCCAGAGCATAAGCCCTTGGCGTGTGGCGAGACGAGTTTTTCGCCATCGCCGCGAGCAGCAAGCCGCCCGCCTCAAACAGGCGGAGGCATCGCCGCAGCACTGTCTGCGCCGCGGTCCCGCACCCGTCGACGAAGCTCCCCCCGCGGAAGACCGCGCGTAGCGACGCCTTGACGATCGAGATGAGCGCGCTCGAGGCTCGCCCACCTGCTGCCCCTGAGAGAGTTGGTTATGAGTGGGCTCGGCTCCCCCCCTTGGGATCGAAGCTTCCACGACCTCACACCCAACACCATCACAGGCGGGATCAGAAGGAGACTCCGCACCGGACACGACCGCCCGCGGGCACAGACTCCCTACCAAATCGGATCGCACAGGCCCCCCTCGGAGCAGCCCACACACAATCACGCATCAGCAGAATTAGTGCCTGAGTCAGACAGACAGCACAGACAAGGAGAGGAGAGAGAGGAGAGAGAGCGAGAGAGGAGAGGGGAGAGGGTGAGGGTGTGTGCACACGTGAGGAGAGAGAGGGAGGGTGTCTGTGGTGGGCTGTAGTCATACTACGTGGTTACAACCACGCGCCCCTCAGCACAGGACACTGTCACTGTCACCTGACACTGTCACTGACACAACCTCACACGACACTAGGCCAGCTGGGCTTCGACACATCGCCATTGTTTTTTGCCCGGCCGCGCGCAGCGCTAATCGGGCGCCCTTTGCTCCTTAGGTTAGGTTAGGATGGTAGGAAGGTGAAGAACAGCCAGGCTCGGACTGGACACCAACGCGGTATGGGTGGACGCGAGACAGATGATTCGACTGACATGTATCCCGACGTGGGCGCTGCGCATCGCCGTCCAGCGGCGCCTCGGGCTACCACTCGACGAGGCGCTCGCGCGGGGCGCGCCGACCTGCTCGGCGCGCGGCGGCGAGGTGCAGGACCCACTGGGCGACGCGGCCAGCAACATCGGCCGCCTCGGGCACTGCGGCCGCCATAACAGCCTCCTCGCCGCCCTGGCCAAGGTCATGCGGAGCGTGTGGGGCATGCTCGTCGAGGTGGAGCCGCGGGACCACCTCGGCTACTCTAACGACTACCGGCCCGACGTCTCGGTGGCGGGCGCCGGCCGCTCGCGCTCGCGCCTCGTCGGCGACGTCAAGTTCAAGGACCCGCTCTCCTCCAACCCGGAGGACGTCGGCCAGCGAGGCTTTCGTCGGCCTCGGCAACACCGAGCCCGGCACGAGCGCGGACGTCTTCGGCCTCGAGCAGCGCGGCGCTGTCGGGGACGGCGACTTCAGGCCGAGCGACGGCGGCGGCTATGTGGCGTACAAGAAGGCGGACTACGCGCACGCCCTCTCGCGCTCGGACACCGACGTGCAGATGTACCTGTTCGAAACCTTCGGCGGGTGGTGCAACGCGGTCAAGCGGCTGTTTTATGAAGGACAAGGTGCGCAACAAGCTCTCGAAGCGGCAGCACGAGGACGAGGCGAGCTGGTCGACGCGGTCGTGGCTCTCGCTGCAGGCCCAGCGCATGTCAGTCGCGCTGCAGCTCGCGGCGGCTGAAGAGATTGCGACCGAGCTCAGGCTCGCCGCGGCGTCAGAGGAGTGAGGACGCCGCCGTCGCCTAGACTCCCCTGCGTCACTACGTGCCTCCCCGTCTTTGTAGCCTGGCGTTTGTGCCCGTTTGTGCCGCGTCCCGTGCCCGCGAGTTCATTTTATAAATGACGACTGACACGCACGAGCGCCACACAGACACAAACAGGCTCACAAGACACACAGCCAGCTGGCTGCCACACACCCGAGCCGATGAGTGCGAGCAGAGCAGTGGGAGCGAGACCTTGGCCCAGCGCCGCGTCTTGCCCGTGCCGCTGACGCCGCCGCCGTCGCGTCGCCGACCACAGGCTCGTCGGCCGGAGCAGCATCCTCAGAGGCTCATGGCGTGCTTCCGAGCGCGTCCACACGGCCGCGACGCGGCAGCGGGAGATGTCCCGCCCACGCCACCAAGGCAGCCCGGCCCGGCCGCTGCGGGGCCTTGCGGGGGCGCAGGCGTGCAGCGACCTTAGCTTTCGCGGCTGCAGGGCTCCGGTCTAATTCCGGCTGCAGGGCTCGAGTGGAAGAGCGAGAGAGAGCGCTGTGTCCCCGCCACAAGTCGGCTGGGGGCCGGCGGCCCACGAAGATTCTGAAAACCAATTGGTTTTGCGAATCTAATTTGGCGCGAAACCGAAAGAGAAAAAATCCTGAGGAAGAAGAGAAGCGAAAAAAGAAAAAGCGCTCTGAGTCGAAGGCGAGCCGAACAGGCGTGTCCCGTGTCCGAACCCAAACAAAACAAATCCCACGAAAAACAACTTCCTTTGTTGTTTTTGTCCGTTTGGGAGAGAGAGAGAGATGCACCAGATCCCCGTTTTTGTTCCGTTTTTGTGATTTGGTCATGGTGAGAACTTCCCGCCCTGCTGCGAGCGTCTTTTCTTTTTCGAAAAGAAAATTCCCGACGGAGGTCCCTCGCCCGATTCTGGGCGTATAGGGCACGCTCAAACCCACGCGCCATCACCCTCTCCTCGCCCCCCTCGTCTTTCAATTTTTCACCCCCCCCCCCCCCTCCCCTA